AGCGGACACCCCAGGGAGGATTGGTCACAATCAAACACTTCTGATTATTCAAATCTAATTCTTTGCAGTCCCCTTGACGAAGGGAGACCGTGTTTGCCAGACCGGCTTGTCGGAGGGACGCATCACAAATCTCTAATGCCCCTGCGTGGATATCATTCACCATCAATTCGATTTGGCCTGAACTTGAAATCCATTGGAGACCTTCCCTTGCCTCTTCAGTTGCTTCCTGTAGGAATACTTTCCATGTATCCATCATACCACGACCAGATTTCCATCGCAGCACAGGAGGAACTTGGAAGCCCGACATGCCACACTTGATTCTCATCAACCCCGGTGATAGATTGGCAGCTATCATGGCTGCCTCCACAACAAGGGAACCACTGCCACCCATCGGGTCAAGCAAAACTAGCGATTCCCCAGTCGTCCTTGCCGCTATGCACTTCTCTTGCCATCCTGCCTTTAACAACAAACCTGCGGCCATGCTCTCTTTCATGGCAGCCTTATGCATGGCACTTCCTCCACGATACCCGCGGCGGTGAAGACTACCAGGTGGGTGAAGGCACCGGTATAACGAAATCTCGGCACCTTCCCGAACCCTCGGAGGATGGCAACTAAAGGTACGTCGGCATTGTCCACATCCACATCCGGGCGGTCGCCTCTCAAGTCACGAACCGTGTCACAAAGAGCATTTTTAATACTCAGAGCTGTGTAGTGTGAATGATTGATATCGGGAGGGATCCTTCCATTCATGACAACCGCCACACTGATCGTCAAGAGCCCACCCTTACCATCTCCCAATAACTCTTTAACGTCCAGAGTCTCCTTGATGAAGTGATGAATGTCATCCCTCGTTGATACCATCTCTTCCGAGGTGGACACCAACTCCATGAGTCGGTGGGCCGTCCTCAGACGAAGCAGTGATTTGAGGCCAACCTCTGGTGATCCTCGAAATCCAACTGCCGAATTTCCGGATAGGTTTATATCAAAAGCACCCAAGGCCTCCAGCTCATCGGCAAGGACAGGGGCTAGACCAGGAATGCAAGTAGCAATGTACCGGTTGCTTGCTTGCTCAAGGTCGACGTTGTCGTTTGTAACAGGTCGACGAACCGTATTTGTTCTTTGATTTGGGGCAGTCGAAAAGGCATGCGATGAAGCGAAGAGTAGCACGACGATGAACCATTTTCTCACATTCGTCACAGTCATGTTGGGTTTCACCCAGAGTTGGCGTTCTTGTCACAACAATTGGATGTATGGGTGAGGTCGTGATGGGTGGGAGCACTTGTTCTAATAAAGAAATAAAAGGGCAGATACACTGGTGGAGAACGGAAACCTGCCGGGTTGGACAGGGAGACAGACGCTTTCTGATGGTCACGGTGTGGGAGTGACTCCAGTATCCAGTAAACATACCAGCGACCGCCAGTATGTCATACACGTACCGGGTATTTCATGCTACCAGTACCAGTTAGCAGTACTTGGAGTATTAGAGGTACGCAAGTACTACTATGCAATATGATACTGTATGACTGTATGTTCCAAACAATTTTTTCTATCCCACTGAAGATGCCAAGACTCGAGGAGGCCTCTCGAAGACTCGAAGAGAAAGGACAACGTTCGATACGATGAGGTCGAAACAATTTTTTCTATCCCACTGAAGATGCCAAGACTCGAGGAGGCCTCTCGAAGACTCGAAGAGAAAGGACAACGTTCGATACGATGAGGTCGACCCATGATCAGTAAGTGTTGGCACTCCCGACCATCTTTTCCTATGCAATACTCCGCGCTCCGCCTACACCAAAGACCAAAGCCACATCTGACAAAGTTTGAATACCTATATCCTACTAGTATACTTCAAAATGAACAGCATGATGTTCACTGCTGGATTTCATATGCAGCTTATTGACAGCCTTTCCAGATCAATTTCCCCTCGCAACTTCAGCAAGTCGCTGTTCAAAGCTTTGGTCCGAATTGTGTGTAATCGACCGATCCCGCTCCCTCATACTTTGTGAAATTGGAGATGTACATTTCAGCCAGGTTCTTGGCCGCTGCATCATATGCTGCCTCGTCGGGCCAGGTTGACTTCGGATTCAAGAGATCTGAATCAACGTCGTGAAGAGCCTTCGGGACTTCGAACCCAAAGATTGGATCCTTAACCATTTCAGCGTCATTGATGCTGCCGTCTAGGATAGCGTCAATGCAGGCGCGCGTCGTATTGATAGACATACGATTTCCGATGCCATATGGTCCGCCGGACCAGCCACTGTTCACTAGATACGCAGATGTTCCATGTTCTTCGAGCTTGTCGTGTAACAAGTCAGCGTACCGAGTTGGGCACAGAGTCATGAACGCAGCTCCAAAACAGGCAGAGAAAGTGGCAGCCGGTTCCTTGATGCCTCGTTCCGTCCCCGCAACCTTGGCAGTGTAACCAGAAAGAAAGTGATACATGGCCTGTTGTGGACTGAGTTTGGCCACAGGTGGCAGGACTCCAAAGGCATCACAACTCAAGAAGATGATGTTGTTTGGGTGCCCAGCCATTTGTGGTTTGTGCTAAACGAAAGGAGGCAATCAGGAAATGTCCAATTTTCAGCAAACTCGAAGATTGAAGGCACTTACATAATTCGGGATATGAAAAATCGGATATGAAACGCGGCCATTCTCAGTCTTCGATACGTCAAAGTAGTCGGGAACCTTTTTACCTTCCTTGTCGACCAATTTTACGTTCTCCAAGAGAGCATCTGTTTTGATGGCATGGTAGATGTCAGGTTCTGTCCTTTCTGACAAGTTGATTGTCTTTGCATAGCAGCCGCCTTCGAAGTTGAAAATACCGTGTTCGTCCCATCCGTGCTCATCGTCGCCTATCAAGGCCCGATGAGGATCGGCGCTCAATGTGGTTTTGCCAGTACCACTGAGCCCAAAGAAGAGGGCGACATCTCCATCCCTACCAACATTGGCGCTGCAGTGCATAGATAAATGGCCCTGCATCGGCAGCCAGTAATTCATGAGGGAGAAAATTCCCTTTTTATTCTCCCCTCCGTACCAAGTACCGAAGATAACGGCAACTTTCTTTTCCACGTTGAAGACGACCGCTGTATCGCTGTGCAAGCCCAGTTCCTTCCAGTCCTCAGCAACTTGACTGCAGCAGTTGATGATCGTAAAGTCTGGATCAAAGTCTTCCAACTCGCTCTCCGTTTCGGGACGAATAAACATATTGGTCACAAAGTGCTGCTGCCAAGCCATTTCGTGGATGAAGCGAACCTTCTTTCGCGACATAGGGCTTGCACCACAGTAGCCGTCGAAGACGTATGCGGTGTCTCTTGTATTAAAGTGAGCGACGGCCTTTTCATAGAGTTTGTCAAATACCTCAGGTCGCGTGGGCTGGTTGACTTCACCCCAGTCTATGTTGGCGTCGGACTCCGATCCGATGTTCTTCACGATCCACTTGTCCTTCGGTGAACGGCCGGTGAATTTGCCTGTGTCGACAGTGAAGGTAGGGCCACAGTCAGCTGCTGCAACGAAGCCTTCTTTGTTGGCCTGCTCATGTTCAAACAAATCTTGGAAGGACAAATTTCGGTAGACGATAGAAGGACCACTTATGCCAAGTGGCGAAATGCCGGCTTTCAGACAAGCATCGGTCCCCTCGAACGTTCGTGCTACCCTATAGGCATCTCGGGGTTCCAACTCCTCTTGAACCAATGCAGATTGGAAACGACGAGTGATAGGGGTTGAAGCGAGCTGTATTATCGGACCTTTGTGTTAGGGAAGGACAGTCATGAACATCCGTGGTTGCTTCTTTCATTTCTCACCTTGTTAGGCCCAGGAAAACCAGATGCAAAGGCATGAGTTACCAAGGCGCGAAGTGCCAACCTGCCGCCAATGGCGGAAGCTCTGTGAAGCATGATGCGGCCTGATGATGCCAACATGTTTCAAGTTTACTTTTGAGTAATGTTTTGTTATGTCTCAACGATCTTTTTGTGAGTGACGCTGTATGGATTCTTCTTCCATCACCCTAGTTCAATTTTGAGTTCGTGTCAGTTCAAGGTGATGCTTCGCATTTGTGATGTTACAAGAATCGCGTGACCCTGCATCCTGCATACGATTGACTACAGTCAAAAAACTTGACACCCTGCGCTCTTCGTCGGTCATCGACGCGAACCCAGAGGACGAATGAGAACTCGGAAATGGTATCTTTCTCGAAAAAGTTCGATCACAACGAATAAAGGTCTACGTCAGCAGTCATCGTTCGTCATGTTCGAGTATCGGTACAGTGGTAACCAGTAAACCTACTAGTAGAGTAGTACTGGAGTCTTCCGTGAACAATTTCCCTAACTTCCCTATTTTCTCAAGAATGATGCACTGAAAACTGAAAACCCCAAGTATCTGGTACTCTGAGTCTGAGTACTACAGTCTACAGTACTCCCTACCTTTAGGCGCATACTGTTATAGAATGCATTTGAAACCACTCGATTCCAAAATGAAAGTCCTTTCTTGATACTTCCACGCTGCTACGTTTAGAAACTTAAGAAATTTCTCTAAATGTCAGGTCATTTGAGTTCCACGTAACCACTTGATTCCAAAATGAAAGTCCTTTCTTGGTACTTCTGTTAAGATAAGAAATTTCTCTAAAATGTCAGGTAGTTTGAGGTCCACGTATTTGATAATTCATTTTTCACGGTGCAAAGCACCCTTCGCACATTTTTGTCGTCCGGCCGTCAACCCCCGTCCATATTCCAGCCGTTATAAAGTTTGAGACAGTTGAGTTTGCGTTCCAGCCGTGCTCCGATTTGCATGATGTGAGAACATTATTGTAAGTCATGGTGTTGATTGTTGATCCATCCAAGCCAACAAGGTTGTTTTAACTTACACAATTTTTCTGTTCAGTAAGCAAGCAAATAAGCAAATTTTTGCTGCAATGAAATTTGATTTTCAAAAGCAATTTTTCAGTGGATATTGAAATTTCCATTAAAAAATATTCGAACGAAAAAAGTTGAAAAGTGGAGTAAAAATACTCGAGGCGAGAATCGAACTCGCGACCTCGGCTGTGTGAAAGCCGCGTCATAACCCCTAGACCACACGAGCGTACACTATCTTTCTGTGTTCAAATCAAATCAAAAACTCTACTTTGTTTATTCGTCTTCCTTGGACTTTTTGTATGGTAGAATATGGTCAAGGGTCGAAGACCTTAAGGTCGAGGCCTATCTGTAGTCTAGTTAAATCATATTGGCTTAAAGGTCCGCCACTTCACCTAATTGGTCAAACTCGTGCGTCAGATGCAGCAATGTGCTTAGAATTCCATACCGTATTCACTACTTTGCCACCCGCGCAGGAGCGACTCGACCTTGAGGATTTGAGGGACTAACACACACGGCCTCCGTTAGAGTGAACTCTACTGCAACTCAGTGCCACCAAAGCAGGCTTACAGGTATATCATTTCTTCTTGTACAATACGTCGGTTCGAATCACATACTTGCAGCGGTCCTTGCTCTCCACTTTGCTGCCCTCGTGCACTAGACTAGCAGTATTCCCCTGAGGGAAGAGCAATACATTTCCTGCGTGTGGAGTAACAGACACCGCTTCCAAACCCCCGTTCTTGGGAAGATAAAACGTCGTTCCTCCACCCTCAAATCCATCGTTCAAATATACCAGAAAGGTCAATCGACTCCTATGGGAGTCGTCAGATATATATTTCCCATCCTGCAGCGCACTTGCCGGCCAGGAACCATCAATATGGGGACGATAAACGGAATCAGTACTGTATCGAAAGAGTCGCCATCTAGAATTGATCCCGGTCACATCCTCCCCTTGAATGGTTGCAGGCAGATAAGGCAGTACTCGCTGAAACAGAAGTTCTGACTCCTTTAGAGCCAACCACTCGCATGTATCAATACCAGTGGCTTCCATGCTTTCAACTGGGTGGTCTGGTGAGTAACCCATGCGTTCTGCCGTCAGGATTAGTCGTTGGCATTCATGTGCCATTAACACGTTAGTCAAGAGCACGGCACCAGGGATTGGAGGTACTACATGTTTCTCGATTGCAAGTGTGTTGTAGTCTTGCGACAGCACGGTTGTATCTGTGTATGATATCTTGAGATCGTGGTGATTCGGTGGCTTCCGATCCTCGGCTGAAACGTGATGGATGATTTGAATATCGGTGGGAACCTTCCAACCCTCATCCGAAATAAGTGGCAGCGTTTTACATTCCGGTGGATTCCATTTCACTCGATTCGCAATCTCGAGATTCCTTCAAGATCCTGTTCGAGTAGTACCCGACGAGGATCATGCCGATTCATGGCGCCATCTTCATTCGGAGTTTCTGGCGATGCACACCTGAGAATCGCAGCAATCAACTTCAGTTTCAGACCAGGAGATTTACATTCATCGCAAAATCGAACCCAGCGTTGGATTGTGCCTCGCTTCAATTTGTTTTCGAAGTAGTACGCGCAGCCCTCCAGAGCGAACAACACTGGGGTCCACTGTTGCTGTTCCAACAACGCAGTAACACGGGCAGGATAATCAATTGGATCAAATCGTTCCCTCCATGCTTCTTGGAATGGATGAAGTGCTCGTCGCAAATCCTTGTACCGCTTCGCAGCCAAAGTTTCTAGAAGTGCGCCCTCCTGAGTGGCAACCCTATTTAGTGTTTGGATAGTAATCTCGAGATCTTCCGGCTCGATTGCACCGCATTCTAGTTCAACTAGTTTCCGCTTTCCAACAAGCGACGCCGCAATGGAGGAGGGGCTTCTCTGTTCGGATTCAGCCCGTCGTTTCTTGGAACGGTTCTTTCCCATTGTCAAGACAGGACTGGTTCCCTTAAATCGTCAAACCACTGGACCAGCACAATAGGCTACCATGCGTCGGTCCCACTAAATTGTCGACCGAACGAAACCGTTGTCAGCAGCACTTTGTGTATCACTCTATTTCAGTGACAACTGGTGATCAACGGTGTTTCAGCTATCACTTCCGTATGAGAAGTGTACTCCGAGTCCAAATACGTGGTACAAGCACCAGTACAAGTACAAGTAGTTGCTTATCATAGAGACTGTATTCTACACGTAGACTACTGTAGACTGTACCATATGTACAGTATATTCCAGTTTTTGGAAGGTCAGTATGCAGTGTGCAGTATACAGTATCTGTGAACATAAGAATATATATGCATTGCAGTGATTGATGATGGCAATGGAGTCTCAGCACCAATTTTGCATCAACTTGAAAACCTGGACCTGCAACAACAGTTGCAACATGGTTGCACTTAACAAATATGGTGCAGGACACATCTTGGAAATTGCTGTCACATGGAGGGTGATGTTTGTTGCATTACAAGGTTTTGATGTTTGCAAAATTTGGATTTTTGAGCGGAAGCTTACAGGGATAACTGTAGTTGTTGTACATTGTACCATACACAGTGTTCATAGCCAAAGCTAGATGGGACTCAGCTTCCGATGTCAACAATGGTGCAACAACCACCGCGTATGATATGCTGTACCTCGACTCACCGTAGTGTATTGTTTGTATGAGACTTCTTCTTGACTTACAGTTTGAAGTGACGATAGTGAACTCAGAAAGTACACTCTAGAACTTGTTCTTGCACCAGGAATGTAGTATGTATGCATAGCATCAGTCTACTCGAGTACTCCTCCTACCAGTATAGTGGTAGCTATGAACCAGCATCGCTCTTCCTCGGAGCCTACGGTGTGTGGAGAGGGATTGGAGACGATGGAAAAGACTGTCTGAAGACTGCAGTTCTTGTTTGCTTGGGTGGTGGGTATATTGTGCAAGAACCGTTGAATCTATTATCTTTGTAGTACCTGGTAGTAGTTGGTAATTGTCACTGTAGACTGCTTGCTACTAGAACTAATTGATGCTCAGTATCAATTCATGAGCGGTGCCCATCGGTAGCCTGAATCCCTTCGTCGGGTACGTCTGCACCCCAAGGAGTGATGTGATAATGCAATGTTACCAGTGCAACAGCAGCAGAATCATGTGTACTCGACGAAATGAGGTGTTCCAGAGTACTCAATGGAGTGTCGTATGATCAACTGTGCCCAAACAATAAACATTTGGATGCTCTTTTTTGATTTGTCATTAATATCATTACACGATCAAGCTCCATTACTGCCTAAAACGACGAACGTATTCTAGAATTCAATTTCAATGCATCGATTTAGGTATCCATGGAATCACCGGAATAAGCTGAGATTCGGCTGTTCTCAATACTGACGCTGGCCGAGTGAGAGACGACGGAGAGAGATCTCCAGGAATTCGATCTGCCAAGCTTGATCGAGACACGAGTCCTATATGGTCGCACAACGCTCAGATCAGCAATCTCGCGACTCAGGATTTCCTGGAATGCTTTCATAGTGGGGCGGGCGCTAATGTCAGAGCACCAACTGCACTGAAGCAGAGACCTTATGCCGTAGGGCCACGAGACTTCCAAAGGAGGTCTCTCTTCCCCTTCCAACACGAGGGTGCGATGGATGGACTTGGAATGCGAAGCAAATGGCTTAATAAGGCTCAAGCACTCCCAAAGGACGAGGCTTAAACTGTATACATCTGCTTTTTGGTTGTATGGTCGGTTACAGCCAACTTCAGGCGCCATATACCGTTGGGTTCCAATTTTGCCAGAAAGATCGAAAAGCTCGGCGTCGTCATCTCGAGAGCCTTCATACCAAGAAGGTCCCAGCTCTCTTGAAAGTCCAAAATCGAAGAGTTTGACCACACCGTTAGCATCAAATCCGATGTTTCCAGGTTTCAAGTCTCTGTAGATGATACCGTTTTCGTGTAGGTAGCTGAGCGCCCCAGCAATATCACGGCTTACTTGCAGACGCCCAGCGAACAACAACTCCTTCATGTTCGGGTTGATCTTCTGAAGGATGGGTGTCCTGTAACGCTTGAGCTGTTTGGACCATTGCTTGATGCGGTCATCGAGGGATTCATCGAGTCGGTCAAGAATGAGGAAGAAGTCGGAGTGTAGACCACCTGCGTACGCGCGTCCGCCATGTTTCGTCCACCCTCGGATTGACAGGATGTTAGGGTGAGAGAGCGACGCCAAGAAGTGAGCCTCGATGACCAAGTCAGTCCCGGCGTGGCGAAACTTGTTCGGGTTGTCGAGAAACTTCTCCTTCATATGTTTGACAACAAATGGCCCTTGATTTTTGTGGCGTTTTCTAGCAAGTTCAATGAGCGATGCTCGTGCCTCGTCTTCTTTTGCTGAAGGATCCTTCTGTTCAGATTGAGCGATTGATTTCACCTCGTAAACGTGAGAGAAACCTCCAGACCCCAACAATTTTCCGAGAACGATTTCGTCTCGGCTAAATTGAGGCAGCGATCGGACGGATTTGGCATTCACAAATCGCGAATTTGATAGAAAACGATTGACACCCCTATTGATCTTACGGCTCGCCAATTCAGCAATGTCAAACGGAAGCGGCTTCCATTCTGGATCTTGCTCGTCCTCTTGTTCTTGTACTATCATCGTGAATTCTGGCGTTAATGTGACTTGATAGCTCGTCGTGAGGGGAAATAATAATGTCTGCCACGGGGTCTCCACGAGTACAACCGAGGACATGCCCCATTCATTCGTCGCATATTTATCCTTCGAACTGCAGTACCAGGTACCAGGTACTCATGAAGTTTCACCACTATATGTTTGGGTACCAGTGTAGTAGAGGAATTTTATACGAAACGGGACACAAACTTCGATTCATGACCGCGGCTAAAATGCTTGAATGACCACGCTTTTTCATTCTCGAAGTGTGCACCATTTAAGCACGAGGATAAAGTAACACGTGATGCAGAGTTGGAGTTCTCCCTACATGCACCCCTACGTGAAGTTCAAGTATCAATTGGTACTCCAGTATTTATGAAATTTCGACGGGTGCGCAGCTATGACCGCAGTCAGGTCTTTTAACCCCTTCGATATTTAACTCATCTCGACGGACAACAATACTCCGAGGCTTGCATACGTGCCACATAAAAACCCTCGTACAACTCACCACTTTAGGAAATAGTATTCGTCTATACCATAGTACTGTAGTATGTTCCTTGTCCATTCAGATGTCGATTCGAAATCGAGTTTT